TTTTGGAGGTACTTGCATTTTAAATCTAACATTTTATTAATTTAGCCATCTATTTTGAAGCAATTCAGTAATTTTGACCTGAGAGTTCCTGATAGTGCTTAATTAAAAAATATCTCCCTGCTTCTTTGCGGTAAGACACATGCCGAATTCAGTTGACCTGGAGTTTGTTGAAAGGTTCTGCTATTTCAACTTAATGGCATGTTATAGAAACTTAATTGAAAATTGCAATCTAAATTAAAATTACAGGCCCCATATCTTTAGGAGCTTTTTGAATCAATTCAAAATCAGGGTTTTGAAACTGATAGTTGCCAGTTTGACGTCCTGCTGAAGAACGTGCCTTTCCACCCCAGCTAGAACCCTGAAGAAAACACTGCCACCCTGTCAGTGCTGACACAGAGCAGCCCTACTGAGGGCAGTGGAGGACTGACTGTCTGTGGGTTTCTGAGACTACAACTCTTTACCAGAGTAGAAAGCCTCATCTTTCTCCTGAGAAGCAGCTGGTGGATTTGAACTGCTGACCTTGCGGTTAGCAACCCCATGGTTATATAACCACTACCCCACCAGAGCTCTCCTGGAATCAGAATCTCAATGGTAACAAGGTTGGGGTGGGGGTGGGGTGGATGGGGGGATGTCTGTCGAATCACCTGTAGATACATACATTCTCTTAAATGCAGACCATAATACTACCCTCTGCCCCGTACATTTACTTACTATTTTGATGTCATTGAGAATTTTCATAGCAAAACATACCGCAGTGTAACACTTTTTCCCTGTACCAGGTTAGTGACATTGAGGATGCTTTGAGTGGTATAATCACTCGCACCCTACCTTTCACAAGTTGCTCCTCCCTCATGAACTCCCTGTGTCCTCTGGTTCAGAGCTAACCTTCCCAGTTGCTGAGCAGACTGGCTGTATGCACCTGGAGGCTGTAGGAAACACTACATATTTATGAGGATGCTCATAGTTCTTTCGGGGGAAAGGAATCTGTCTTGGGTTCCAAAGTTGGGGAACTCTTTTTCATCAAGGATTGCAGGTCCAATTTGAAGCCTACGTGTGCCGACTACCAAAGAGGAAATCGTAAAAGGGATTTGTTTTTCCATTTCATATTAAATTAGAAGCAGCCATAATTGTTTTATGCTGTATGTTTCTTCCACTATTAACACCTCACTTTACCTCATCTAGGGCCTGCCGAAGTCCCCATGATGTCACCGAATGGATCCATCCCTCCTATCCACGTTCCTCCAGGTTATATTTCACAGGTGAGCTTTGCAGCAGACTTCTCTGCTTGCTGTGCATGCCGTTATTTTTCCTGAAGATTATCTGTCGAGGCTTAAACTCGCTGCAGTGTCTAGGAGTTAATTTAGTTAGTCCCATGCTGGGGTTGACATCTTGTTTTTGATGAAGAGAGAGAATCAGTCTTACCCTCCACTTCACAGTCTACCTGCAGCCAAGGCCACCACGGAACTCTTCTTCCTGTGTCTTGCACTTGGCATGTCGCAGCCATGGGGGGAGACATGGCAGGGCTCTGCGTTCAGCCACAAGGAGTGTCACACTTTTGACCATTGGCTTGTTATTTGTTCATGGGGTTTCTCAGAGATTTCCTTCCATCTGTACCACCCATGGCCCATATAGCCTCATTAAAATATCAGAGGAAGACACTGTTGGGCAAATCGGGCTGGCTCTCTGTGACAGGAGTCCCATTTCTTTATCATGTGGCATGGCCTGGCCTTGTGAATTACCGAGCGTGGTGTAGAAGCCTGGTTCTTTCTACTGAAATGTCTCAGAACTTCGGTTTTTCTCTTTAAGTAGAATAATGGTAACAATTATCTCAGAGGTGTGTAGGAAAGATTACAAATTGTTTTTTCCTTAAGGATAAAGTTATACTCCCCTGCTTAGATAAGGGATAAAATGCTCAGGGATGCCCGGATTGTACTTGCTGCCTTGATTTGCCTTGGTTTTTGCCCGGGGTTCAGCACAGTACCCACATCTCCTTGATGCTCCTCATGTAGCCAGCTCTCCAAGTAACTAACCCACCAGCCCTCACCCACCTTGATGATTCTTCTTAAAATTATGGCTATAAAAGCCTTGTATGCCCCTTTTTAAAAAGTTATATGAAGCAGTGTATAATTTTACTACTCAGAGAGATAGATGATCACCATGGTTATCTTTTTTTTTTTTTTAACATTTTATTAGGGGCTCATACAACTATTATCCCAATCCATACACACATCAGTTGTGTAAAGCGCATTTGTACATC